ACATCCAGACACAACAAACAGCAAATGGGTAGTCTGATTGTATTTGGCTAAAGAGTAATACCTCTATCCAGTGTTTCATTGCAGCTGCCATCTCTGAAGCACAGAGTCTGACTATTCTAAATGCTGTGCCAATATCAAGCTGGTGGCTGTGGTCTTAAAAGGCAGCTTAGGTCTCTGCTGCTCACAGCCCCAGAACATGAAGAGGATTAGCTTGCTACCATACCTCCCACTGACTCCCAATGATTATAGCTCTGCACTGTCAGACTTCATTACATCCCCCTTAGAAACTTACTTCTAAGTACTGCAGACATTTCAACTTCCGGTGGAACCAAGTTTCCAAAAAAGACCACTGTGATGAATATCCTGTATGTTATGTGACAGCTGGAGGAAGATGAGTTGGCAGTTTTGTATGCAATAATGGATTAAGTTGATTTACTAAATGTGATAAGTCGTATAATTCTATGTTAAAATTAAAATAATTCATTTATTTCGTTTATTTCCTTTTTCAGCAGTTTGAACGAGAGGCCCAAGAGCAGGCTCCAGAATCTGTAGTTCTGTCATTTTAGAGCCAGAAGTCCATAAAAGCACATATTTTTGTATATTTCTGTAAAGAAAGTACAAATTGTGATCATAGCTGTGTTATAAGAAGGGGCCTACATCCAGCCAGAGCACAATGCATGGTATTTAAAAACATTTGTCTCAATAGCTCTTTCGACAATAGAAAGAAACAAACTGTTTAAGAGATATGGGCAAATGGGACTAGAATTAACTGCTAAGCTACAAACTGCTCTTAATGGTAAAAATGATTGAATAGAGGGGAATAAGTAGTGTTTTATTAGGAATCACCTGAATTGTAAGATAAGCTCATTTTACGGTTATTTTGGTAAGCTGTCTGGATGAAAGCTGTAGCTGAATGCTGTGAGATTTCTTGGGTGTTTTACTAATTTATCCAGCTCTTAAATTGTTGCACTAATGCAGAACTGTGATATCCAAATAATACTGCAGGAAAGGAGTGTCCAACAGCAGCTGTACCCACGAGCTCTACTAATGAGGACCATACCTCTGGTTGACTGTTTCTTCCAACACCATTAGAAACTAAAGCAATGAAAGCTATTAGCAAAGTTTTATGCCGAGGCCAGCAAATACGGGCATATTTTACGAGTCCACAAAGTTAGTCTCAGAGTATTTCTTGAGGCCCAGTTAACACAACTCCTCCTTGTGATTCATAAATGTTTTTATGTTTCAGATCATAAGCAAATTTTAAGATTGTTTTATGATTGCCACATTTGGTTTGTATGTGTTATAAATGTAGATGGCTGCAGTGGAGCTTAGATGCAGCACATGTTAGACACAACGTAACTGTTGCAGTAGTGGGAAGTAGGCAAGGGTGATTTACCGGTATACCATGGTATACCAAGGTTTTAAAGGTTAGGGATTTAAAACCACTAAAATCATCTGTTCTACCGTTTCTACAGTTTAAAGTCCTTGTAATGACATTCCGACAAAAGTGCCAGAGTATTTGGAGTTTTTATAAGCTATGTGGAGAACAGAAAACAAAATAGCATATTGCTGCACACCTCTGGCCAGCTGGCTGAAAGAAAGCTTCGACACTTTTTAACAAATTAAAAACATGATGTGGAACCTAAAGGATTACCAGCATTCTTGCTCATCAAGTTAACACTGCTTTAAAACTACACCTACCAAGCCAACAAGCAAGATGTCAATTAAGCAGCAGAATGCAGGCTGGTTACCAAGGCTGATAGCACAACTAATTAACAAGTTACTATCCGCTTGTTATACTTGTATTACTCTTTAAAAGGGCCAGAAAGCACAATAACACATTGCACTATTTCAACTGCAGTAGGAATAACTGTTGATTTTCTGTTTTACGCAAAATAATACATTATGCATACACAAATCACATACTTCTTTAAGGAAATTGGCAGATAATGATCAACGGCCGATCGATTGGGACATCACTGGTGAAAACGTAAATAAACTTTCCATTTTCACCAGAAATGTAAACAAGGCCTCAGATCCGCCCATACCTAGTAGGAAGTTTTAATGCTGAACCAGAAAGCAATGGCTGGACAAAAAAAAATGAACTGGCCCCTCCTTTGGTAGTAAGGCAGCTTAAACTAGGCAAATAAGGCAAAACAAGAAGCACAATGTTAGAGAAACCTGACATCGTTAAATATGTAATGAGAATACGGATTGTGATCAACTCATTTTAATTCAGTTATCCTTATTATCCCCTCACAGAACAGTGAATGTCCATCCAACTGGCCAAATATATGGTTAGCAGAGTATAAAAGAATGGCAAATCACATATAGTACCCGACCAAATATTGTATCCATAAATTGCACACGCTGATACTTCGATAACAACTATGATTCAACATATTGTGCAGCTAGATGATAAATGATGCTGAAAAACAGAAAACTGTTGAAATCACAATGGTAAGATAGGCCTCACATTTGGAAAACAAATCTCTGATGTTACATAGATAATAAAAATAAAAGGTCATGCATTTTAATGCTCTGCATTCCTACATTTCCACTTATTCACAATAAGACATTCAAAGAATCATCACTGTGCCATGACGGTTTGTTATCCTAAACTAAAGCCTTAAACTTTACCAAATGTAAAAAGTTCACCTGTTGGAGAGGAGATGAGCCCAGGTACGGTGTCCTCTCCAGACACAAGAGCATTCTCAGGAAGGAGATGCATTGCAGATTTCAGTGAAGGATGTGTTTTTACCTCACAGTCCAAATGTGCTCCATCAATTACCTTCAACAGATTGCCATCTGCAAAAAGACAACAGATATATGATTCCATGACAAACAAGCAAACTCTTTTTGCTAAATACAAATGAGTTCAATATATTTCAACCTGGCCATTAGCATCAGCCCATAAATGTTATCCATCTCTTCAGTGTCAGGTTCTAATATCCCCGCCAGAAGCAGGGAAGTCACCTGGCAACATGGCATCCAAATTGCACACAATTTTTCAATATTTCATTTGGCTGTTTGTGACGTAGCTGCAATGTTCCGCTACGCTGCTGGCATCATTTCCCGGGACTAAAACTGAAATGACAGCCATTCAGCTCGAAACCCAAAGAACCGCTGCGGCATAGATGAGGCGCACGACATGAGCAATGAGTTAGACGTTGTCATCTTTCAGGAAGGTCATTCAGAGACAAGTAGCAACCCACAACTCTTGCCATCAACACACAGCACAGATCATTTGGAAGGTGAGTTTCGTGGTGTGTGATACGCTGCCGTCTGTTGGCTTCCCTCAAGCCTGACCGGCATAACAATCTCTCACTGTGGCAGTGTTAATGATTGGACATTCACACTCATGAGTTGCTCAACAAGTTCGTGCAGAGCAATCTGAAGGGGAGTTATTATACAGAGAGAAGTGATACTGCTATCAAAGCCCAACATTTTGGTTTCTAACGATCTTTGTAATGCAGCTATTTGCTTTGTTTTCCAGTCAAAACTGCTGAAAAACTGTTATCACAACTAAACACTTTTAGATCCATTCTTTCTATTATTTACAGTCACCTGCTCCCTTTAGCCGCACTCTTACACAAACCAAATACACAGTTCATCAATGGAGGCTAAGCAGAGTGGTAAACGCTTACTGTCTAAAAGCACTCTTGGACTAACAGATTGTCCGCAGAAAGGCATCCATCATGTTTTAGCTATGAAAGCTTACAGTGAGAGGAAAAAAATCTGAAGAAGACCTATACAATCAAACAGTTGATTGTGGTTTTACAGTCACCTGCTAAAGAACAACACACAGCAACGTCACCATAAACAGCCAATCAAATTATGAATGTCTGACATTCAAATAAGAGAAAGCACTGCTGATTTGCAGGGCCTTTACTCCATCTACAGTCTCCAACATTTCATATCAAACTAAACAAGAGAAGACACGTTTGAACATCACACGATGCTGCTCAATCGCCTCAGAGTAAAGCATGTCAAACATCAGGAGGATCAAAACCAGGATTTAGGCTGTGATCCACATGAAACAACTGGAAAATCTAACAGAGGACGTTGTGACTTTAGGCTCATACATTTTTTGGACTTGGTATTTGTGTAAAAATCTGACATTGTTGTCAGATAATGTTTCTGTAATTGTGAGAGAATGTTCTCTCACAATTACACCCTGACACCATCTATATTTGTCTCTACATTAAAAGCATTGTCAAGCATTAATACAAAGGATTCCAAACGATACTCAAAAATCCAACAACTTTTCAAAAAAGTCCCTATAAGACCTAAAACTACAGCTTAAAATTTATGACTATAAATATAAGCATACAAATCATATCAAAAATACACATATCAGCCAGTGAGCCATGCAGTCATGTTTTGCAGAGCAAAATAAAAAACAAAATCCCTACCTATGTTGTATAACAATCTGAATGTTATTTATATTGCCTAGAATAGCATTTACAGTACCAGAGACAGTATTAGATGTCACAGCTACATGCTCTGCGCATGTGGAGAAGAGGTGCAAAGAGAACACTGAAACACTAATGATTAAATTTTATGACATTCAAAACAAAGGAACAGGTTTGTGACGCAGGAGATTACATTTTTCTGTCAGCTTTGTTCACACATGATTAACTGGACCCGCATAAGAGTTTTCTGACATGTAAATAGCCTTTAAGTTTTTTTATTGTAGCATTAGATTGAGACTCTGCAAATGCCAAATGTTAAAAAGACTCCAATTGGTGTTGGGGCACAAAACTTCAGAGTTCAAGTTCAAGATCAAGACATTGGTAAGGAGAATATACTCCTCACCACTTATTGATGTATGATCCATACATCCATGAGGTGGTTGGCTAAAATGGCGTTCCAGAGAGTCTTGAAAGAACTTCCCAGAGGTTCATTGAGAGACGGCCATATTTTAGTCTTTCACAACAAAGGACGGCTACTTTAAGGAATCTAAAATCTAAAACTTCTTTAAAGTTCTTTTTAGCGTGGCGCTGGTGGTGTAGGGGTTGGCGCGCGACCACGTGTAGAGGCTGTGGTCCTCGAGGCGGCCGTCCCAGGTTCGAGTCCCGGACCCAGCGACCTTTGCCGAATGTCTCCCCCTCTCTTTGCCCCTCCTTCCTGTCTGTCTACTGTCAAAAATAAAGGCCTCTAGTGCTGAAAAAATTCTTTAAAAAAAAAGTTATTTTGCAATTTTTGTTTGCTCCATAATTTCTTATGTGTTCATTCACAGTTTTGATGCCTTCATTGAGAATCTACGTAAAATCCAAGTAGTCATAAACATAACGAAAAACATTAAATCAGAAGGGGGTTCTAAAACTTTTGACCAGTAGTGTAAATATTATATATGTATAAAATCAAACTATCAATGTGTTTCCTATTAAAGCTTCATCATCTGTATTTCAACACAAAGTTCATATTGTTCTCAACAGGTTTCTTAATACATGTTTTGTTTAGAAACTAAAAGACATACAATTTAAAACATTAAACCATCCAAGGGTAATTTGATTAAGATTTTCATTATAAAACCACTGATTTTTCAATGAACAAAAACAAGATAAAAATAAAACATTGAGAGCTTAACAGATTTTCAACAAAAAGACTGACAAAAAGTCCATTTCTGCTATAAGAGGCTTTCTGACCATTTTGAGGACAAAGCAACTGTCTTTATCTTTAAAGCCACTGTGGGGGAGACTGGGAGAGAAGGATGATGATAGACTGGATCCCCGTGTTCTCCTTCTCTCCATGCTAGTGACTCATCTCTGTCAAAAAAGCTTTAACTCTCTCCTACAGCTCACTTACAACAAAGAACGGTGCTTACTTCTAAAAATGAAAATGGAAACCTCCATGGCTGCAGCACAGTTTAACCTCTTCTGCAAGCATTTTGAGTCACAAAAGCAGCTTTTATTGAAAAACAGAACACAGCAAAACATGAATGAAAAAAGAAGAAAATAAGGAAAATCATAGAACTTTCTTGACACAGATGGCACCCAGGTGTCAGATTATTTTCCATAATTTATGTCTTGTTATTTATTATGCATTAGGCTTGGGTTTCAGTCAGATGCTGCGCATAGATTAGAAAACTATTCAAAAACTTCCTTGCAGCAGTGATGTGATGTGGTATCTCAGAGCCAGTTGAGGAGCAACTTGGCAAGAGATGTGAAAACAAGGAACCTGGAAGGCTTGGGAGACAAAAATGGCAAAAAAAAGAACAAAAAAAAGGGAGGGACAGTAACTATGGGAAAACACTGAAAACAGAAGAAAAAACACATAAAGTAATGGTTATATGCATCAGTATAAACTAACATTAGCCAATAGAGTGATTTTAAATTCACTATTTAACATTTTATGATCGCACGGGGTCGGTGCTACATTAAGTTAACAGTATAAATAATTTAAGTCCGTTAGGTCCTGTGGAGAGCTGTATGTGATGATCGCTGGTCGGGTATTCTGGTGTTTATTTCTGTGGGTTACAGATAAAGATTTCTGGTTAGAAGTTGTTTGCAAATATGCAGTGTTGAAAATTAAAACCCCTGTCACACCGTCTGCCTTGTGTTTGTGGTGTGTGAAGATACACAGCTTTAAGTAAATAATTCTTCAGCGTTACCGTTCTATGCATCTGATACTGTAGCTTATATAATTAGTTCTCCGGTTAAGCTGGGCTGCCAGGGACTTCTTGTACATTGTGAAAATTTCGGTGGCAAATCTGCAGCTCAGAGATCCTATAAATAAAACATAGGCGCCAATGCTGCTGAATATACAAAGTGTTACTTAAATGTCACAGCAAATACCCCATTTCAACATTATATAATCTCACGCTACAGTCTGCACCAATGAAGATTCACTCACCTCAGTATGCTGAAGGCTTAATGTGGATCCAATGGATGTGCAGTTCAACCTATTTTCTTTATAATGCAGCTAATCAAATATTGGACAACTTGGCGGTATTCCTAGATTGTGCTTAGAACACTGAACTTTCAGCTTAAAATGGTCAGGTCGGTATAAATAGATGGCAACCTTACAGAAAAGAAACTTACTCTGTACAGGTAAAACAATCCACATAGTACGTTAACAGGACAGGACTTTGTTTTACAAGATGCTCTTCATTTCCTTACATTTAGACCTGCATAAAAACTGTCTTTAGATAAATCAACAAATGGCCAGAAAAGAAACGGCAGATCTTTTTATTTCCCCTAATGGAGAAAATGAATCTGCTTTGGACGTCTGGTGAGGAGTTCAGGAAATGTCACAATGTTTAGCAGAGGAAACTTGTTTTCTGGAGCTTTGACTGAGAAGAAACAAGTTATTCAATTAATACCTTTAGAAGATGGCGCTTGTACAGATTTTTGCGGTATTCAACTCGCTCTTTAGTATTATTGAGGCACTCAGAGATGTGGCATTGTCATAGAAACACAACAAAAAACCTGCTGCCAAGGCATTACATTCTGTTCATTACTCAGAAACATGTAACAGTGTAGGTCAGACTACAAAACATACACTCTGAAATGTTTATGTGGTAATTAGGTGGTGGTTATTTATCTGTCTAGTCTTGCTGCTTTTACTTTCAGAAGCTAATTCTACTCATTTAAATTTTGCTGCATATGACTCTACAGCATTAATTACATGATTAAAAGACAATTATTCATTCATTTTAAGCAGCGTATTTAATCTTCGAGGAATTTTAATCTGATTCAAGCACCTACATTTGGTTATATAGATCATGCTTGTGCCCTATTTATTTATTAGTGGCATTTGGGAAAAGTTACCCAAAACACATTAAAGATGTAAACTTCTAACTGGCGCTGTACGTAGCAGTGAAATAAAGAATCATTTCAGTAACAAAACAAACGTCTGTTGAATTGCACCAGAAAAGGGAAAGTCACAGAGATGCCGCTTTTCAAGCCATCTCTGTATTTTACAACTCAGGTCAGATTAAAGCATTGATATTTATTATAACTGATTAGCATTAAAGGACAAAAAAATATACCAGAGCTTGTGGATCCAGCAACACTGCATCCTACCCAGCACCTCCTCACGCATCAATTAACATGTTATTCCTACACACACGTATACACACAGTTTTTTATAAATATGTAAACTAACTAAAATATAAAAAATTTTTCCAACAAAGGCGAATAAGGAAGATCGGAATATATTTATAGTCTGGGATCTAAACTTCTACTTTTTGTATAAACATGTTAAGAAGCATAAACAACACTCAAAATCTGAGATTCACCAAAATGTACACTGGTGACTGGAATCTGACAATTTCAGCTTAACTGACTAGAAGCCTAAAAAACTGATCTTTTTTCTATCAGTAAACACACCATATGTACGCTGACAGAACTCTTTGTTGAGGTTGGACGAAGCTTCAAAGTTAGCGATTTTCAAACTGAGTGAGATATTTAAAAGTTAAAGGAAGCACAGATGAGAGAAGTTGAAAGGAAGCAGTATTTTGTACAACATGTTGAGACATATCTGAGGTTCATTCAGGCAGTGTGATATCAGGGGAGAGCGAGACTTTCAGCAGATAACAAGAAGGCTAAACGGAGAACAGAAAAAATTGCTCTGTTTTATCTTTTTGAGCTTCCAATTAGAGAGAGACTTCAGAGGCCATGTGAAACTTTAAACTGAGTTTTAAATGTTAAAATCACAAATAGATCTTCAAGCTGCATTACTTCATGAATACCTTAAATCAGAGCCAGAAAGTTGACACCAGCCACATACATGTACATACCATCTGTTTCCTATCAAGTTCTGTCACATTGCTTCTACATAAATTCATGCAAGCAACATGATCTTAAGACATTTTATATAATTTATGTTGCTTTGCACGCACATGGAGCACTCACTCATATCATTTATTTGCCTTTAGTTGCACAGGGAGAGAAGCAACATGAACACGTTTTCCTATGAAAAAATTATTACACTGCATCCAGGAGGCAAAACATTCTCCTTTCTGACCTTTTCTTACTGTCTGCTTTGCTGAATGTTGTGACACTTTCTTGTGTGCATTAATCACAAACATTTTATGCCACTGACAGTGGATAAATGCTGATCTACCAGAGATCTCCTGTGGACAGAGTAATATAGCTGGCCTTGGAAAGGAAAAAGCACCAAAGCGTAAAGACCAAAACAGAAGTTTGATTTCTACTTATTAAAAAGAAAGCTTCTTATATACAGTGCCTTGTTAACATATCTACAACCCTTGAACTTCTCTACATATTGTCATGTTACAACCACCAAATGTATTTTTGTGATAGAACAACACAAAGTAGATCATATTTGTGAAGAGAAAGGAAAATTATAAATGGTTTTTCAATTTTTTAACAATAAAAAAAATCTGAAGAGTTTGGCATGTGATGCTAGGTTAGGTTATATAATGGTATCCCAAGCTTTAAAAATTCAAGCAGCACTATCCATCATATTAAAATGAAAAGCGTATGAAATAACAGCAAAGCTACCAAGACATAGCAGTTCACCTCAACTGACAGGTCGGGCAAGGAGAGCACTACTCACAGAAGAGGTCAAGAGGCCCATGATAACTGGGGGAACCGGAGAGATCCACATCTGAGGTGAGACAACTGTTGCAGTTGTTGAAAAAAAAAAAAAACAAGAAAACAGAAGAAGTCACATTTGGATTTTGCCACAAGCAATGTAGGGGACACAGCAAATCTGTGGAAGAAGGTACTCAGATGAGACCAAAGATGAGCCTACATGCAAAACAACAAGTGCAGCAGTATAATAACACATTGCATCACCCTACTGACAGTGAAATGTGGTGGTGGCAAAATCATGCTCTGAAGATGCTTTTTTACCAGCATGGAACACGTGAAAGCTTGTCAGAGTTGATGGGAAGATGGAGATGGATAGAGATGAATGAAGACAGGGTAATCCTAAAAGAAAGCATGTTAGAGGTTATCAAAGACCTTAAACTGAGGCAGAAGTACACATCCAAAAGTGCAACAACCCCAAACTAAGAGCAAGAGCAACAATAAAATGCTTTAAAACAAAACGTGTTAGAATGACCCAGTCAAAGTTCAGTCCCTAATCCCATCAAGAATCTGTAGCAACATTTTGAAATC